GCCGGTAAATCTTGGAAAATCCAACTTTGTATACCTAGGAATGATGGAACTTTCTTCTGCACATCTGATTCTGACCCTCCTGCCACTCCACTTTTACCCTTCCAACCCCGATTCTGACTAGTATGTTCAGTTGATTCAGAATCGACCTTCGAATTCGCTAGATCCTTTGTGAGTTGCATCTAAGCGAGCGTTTATTGCTTCCTGTCTCGCTATATTGGCTGTACGTTCTTCTTGAAACAAGTTCACCAATTGTGCCAGTTGATGTTGAATTTGATCTCCCATAACACCCATCTCTGATACCAAGTTGTTATGGTCCCCTGATATGGATCTGGTTATGGGGCACTTATGGGGCACTGTAGTGTGAAATCAAATGTTTTCTTCCTACGACCTATGGTGCTGGTTCGTTAAGAGAGAACCTGCAATCTCTTGAGTTTGAAGTGCTCAAAAACTTGGTACTTTCTGCATAACATTTCACTGAATTCAAATACACTAAATACAACACTGGTGGATTAACCACCCATCTGAAAACAAGGAAAATAACTTCCTACTACAACTGAATTGAGAAAGTGGAGGAATAACCTCCTATTTAAAAGTTGTTGTAATCTACTGCGAACAACTAAATAACTTATATGCTAAAGTATTCTACTTTCTAATTTCCTTAAATCTCCCATGTGTAAACCTTTGGTAGACTAAAGGGGTGCTAACATCAACCTTTCATCATTCTAGTTGAATTCGAACCGAATCAGAAACTTGTGAACACTGAATGCAGTTCGACTAACTACCACTGTCCTTCAATCTTAATAAATACTATCCTTTTTATTGCAATGCAGCACTAAACTTAAACCTTGTTGCTAACAGAAACAATTTTAATCACATCATAGTAGGTATGTTACTAGGTCAGAGGTTTGAGTTGATATGTCTTGAAAACATCTGGGTCCGAGTTTTCATTGCTTTGCTAGATATCTTAAATATATGTACTCGTTTTAGAAAAGGTACAAAGGACTGAGGAGACTGAATTCGGAGTCTGATTTTAATGTATATTTATCCTATTTAAAGTTATTTATCAGCTTATTGACAATTATGCCACTAAAATTGAAAACCTGATATATTTATTCATGGTTGCTTTAGAGATAAAGTAAATAGGACATAGTTTTTTATGTTTATCTGTCTCACTGTTTCAGCGAGAGGTTTGTCTTCTGTATTTTATAGGACCTCATTGCTGGATTTGATCAAGAAGCAGCTGCTGTGGTAATGGCACGACAAGTTTCTTTCAAAATGGAAACCGAGGTATCATCCTCTTGGTTTATTACTGATGATTTAACCTTATATCTGGTTGTATTTTTTGTTTTCTGTCCAAGAAGTTTTGCTTTCTTTACCATGGCTTGCTATCTTGCACTGTTGTTTTTTTACCTTTTGGAAACCCACTTCCACTTTCTTCTGCAGGCTGATTTTGATCCCATCAGATGGCTGGATAAGTCATTGATACACATATGTTCTCGGTTTGGTGACTACCAGAAAGATACTCCATCTTCTTTCACTCTATCTCCTCGTTTTTCAATATTTCCCCAGTTTATGTTTCACTTGCGGCGGTCTCAGTTTGTCCAGGTATATTTTCATCTTGATTGTAAACATCAAGCATATTACTTTCTTACATTTCTGTCTCTACCATCATGCTCAATTTTTAACATCAACTCTGGCTCAGGTCTTTGGGAACAGTCCAGATGAGACGGCATATTTTAGAATGATTCTGAACCGGGAAAATGTTGCTAACTCAGTCGTGATGATTCAGCCCTCTTTGATATCTTATTCTTTTCATTGTGGTCCGGAACCAGTCCTCCTTGATGTGGCGGCAATTGCTGCTGATAGAATCCTTCTTCTAGATTCTTATTTCACCATTGTCGTGTTTCATGGATCAACTATTGCTCAATGGAGAAAACTTGGATATCATGAACAACCTGAACATCAGGTAGCCTTCTTTTCAGTCTGAACTAAACACTGAAGAGTTAAAAACTTTTATCAATTGCTGATTCTAGGATTGTATGTCAAGTAATTTGATCTCAGACTAGCTTTCTTTTTGATGCTGGTTTGAATATGATATATAGGATTACCCCACAGACACACATGTGTGTGAGAGTAAATAACAACTTCAAATTTCAATTGATTCATGGATCCATATCTTTCAAGGGAATGATTTGTGCTCTTTTGCATTGAATGCAGACACTTCAAAAGAGTCACCGTGACTGGATAGATGCAACACTAGTTGCATACCTGTTCGATGTAATCTTATTTTCACCATCAGACACATGATAATAGTCGGGGGGAGGGGGGGGTTGAGTAATTAAAAATCCATAAACCAGCTTTTACTTTTTGTTTGATACAAAAATCAAAGTGTAGTATCAGCAATGATGTGGAAAAGGTGTCATCCTTGTGTTTCCTGACCGACAATTTGCTTTGTAGCCTGCTTTAAACAATTAATCTTATTTCTGAGTCCATTTTGATTCTGGTCCTATTGTCTATGTCATGGTGCACAGAACTCATGATGATTTGGATTTGAGTTTGCTCGTCATTTATGTGACCTTAAATTTACTCTATGGCAGGCATTTGCTGAACTATTAAAATCTCCTAGAGAAGATGCAGAGGCCATTGTTCGTGAAAGATTTCCAGTACCTCGTTTGGTCATTTGTGATCAATATGGATCTCAGGTTACTAACTATGCTTTCTGTCTAGTCCTCCTTAATGTATATATATTTTCTGTTTTTGATGCATGTGCCTTTATTTAGACTTTACAGCAGATGTTGGATCTGTAATCTTCAGTTTTGTAGTTCTTTTTACATATTTGAATTTTTTCTTAAACAGCAAGAGGTTTGTGATATAACATTTTTGTCTGCAATTCATGTTCTGAACAAAAGGTTGGATTGACACTTTGAGTTGATATCTGTGCTAAAATGCCATGTTAAAGATGTTAGCTATCTTCTAACCAAACATGCTTTCTTCCTTTGAAACTTGGTCCAAAAGCTAATCATGTTTCACTTGTACGGAAATAATTTGTTTCTGTTGCTTATTAGCCGCTCTAGTAGAAAAACTCTGGAAACAATCATCAAACACTTTTTGATGTCTATTCATGAAAAAAAAATAGAGTTTTTATCTGGAGCTTTCAGTTTGGCCAAATTTTTACCTGCTTTTGATATATCTTTTCTTCAAGTTGCCTACTGCATTCTTCTCTTTTCTTTGTCGAAAGATCTGGTGGCCATAGTGAAAACTGGATCTGGACATCAAAATATTTGTGTTAGTTGCTCATTCCTGGAAAGAATTCATCATCTTTTTTCCAAAGTTGATACCAACTTGAAGTTATCTTCTGTTTGTATTATATAGAATAACTTTCTTTTAGGCAGAAGTAATTTTATAATAAGAGTAATCTTTTCTATACAGGCTCGTTTTATGCTAGCAAAGTTGAATCCCTCTGCCACATACAACTCTGATGCTCCTCCTATTCCTGGTGGAGATATCATATTCACGGATGACGTTAGTTTTGAGGTTTTCTTGGATCATCTGCAGCGGTTGGCTGTTCATTAGAGTCCATGACACATCTTCAGAGTCTAGCGGAGAATTTTGTAAACTTTTTTCATTTGGATTGATTGTACAGCAAGACAATTTGACATTTAATTTTGAAATCATTTTTACATGGCTTATTTATTTGCAATATCTTGTAATGCTTCTGTATTATGAACTCTCTGAGGTTTTGATAGACATCAAAGAAAGAAAAAAAAAAAACTTGTAACATTGTGGTGAGAACAAACATCTCTACTGCAAGTGAATTCAGTTTATAATTATTAGGGCCTGAGTTGTGTTATAAATTCAAAATTAATTACTTGCACACGACAGTAAGTCGGATAAAATACATTTCTCCTTCTTAAGAGGTTTTCTCTTACTACAATTTTGCTTACTGTTTTCTTGCTTCTCTTTTTCGTAATTGTTGTTTAAAGTTTCTCTACTACTCCCATTGCCTTCATGATGAATTTATATTAATTTTCTCTTCACTCCTCTTCCAACAAAAGGTGTGGAATATTCCTAGAAATTTGGCACTATTCTACTAATTATGAGATTTATATACATACAGCTTTGAATATATTCAACTAATCGAGAAGTTGGGTTTTGATACGACGCTGTCTCTTAAAATACCTTGACTTAATTATTTTCTTCCAATATCAAGGTTTTTTTTTTTTAATAACCGAGAAATATGTTTGTAACCTGTCATTTGGACCAATATCAAGCTGTTTTTAGTGTTCCCATCACTCATCAGTGCTGCTGTCTACTCTCTCCGATCACTTTAACTATTCATTTCAAATTATTTCTCAAGCTAGTTAAAGACTATGCACCACTTAATATGAATATCATGGTAAAAATATGCATTTCGTTTCAATTTATTTGTCTTACTTTTCTTTTTAGTCCATCACATAAAGAATGCCTAAAAGGTCATAGGTTTTCATTTACTGAATGCAACTCATGGTAGTTGATGGAATTGCTATTGATGTTGGTGAAATATGTGCAGGGCATTGAGAGAGGACGAGTTGAGATTTATGTTGTTCGAGCTCTCCAACAATATTGCCGCATTCATGTCAGATTCTCAAAAGATGCACTACCTTTGGAGTACTCGACATGCACCCATCAGCATTTTTGAAGAGTCCGAGCATAGGCTGAGATTGCATGCATACACCAATTGCGATCTCTCACAATGAGCATCGATATCATTACATTGACCATTGATAAGGTGACATTCTTTTTAAAACGAAAATAATGAAAACATAATCTTCATTCGTTCTTTTTTATTTATCTTACATAATTTTAAAGGATGATAGAATTTCTTAAAGCACATAAAACTGTGTGCTTGGGCTAGTTTTGCCACTTTATTTTACAACTGAATTACCAAATTATTAACCAAGCAAACTGATAGGGAAAAGTACTATAAATTCTTTATCACTCAAATGGAAATTGTTTCCAAACTATATATCCCCTTTGCTGAGGATGGGGTTCTGATTTCCTTTCTTCAGAACAAAAATCTTATACCAGCTCATGAATTTAGCTGTGAACTCTGCAGTGAAAAAATAGAGTCAATCAACATTGATTCTAAACACATTTCTTGTGTAAATCAGACGTTATATAAACTTGAAGTATGACTTATCGGTGTACTTCTGTACATATGGCCTAAAGGTGAATCTAAAGTGTCAAGAAAGTATAAGCATAGCTGCATAGGTGAAAATATATAATCCTAAAAATTTATGTTTGTCCAGGTTTCAAGATGCATGTCATTTACAAAAGCTATTGTTACAGTTAACGAAACTTGCAGATGAGAGTAGAGGAGCACACTCATCTTGGATAAATAGATGTAGGACAAGATTTCAACTGGGCAAGTTCCGCACCCATAGAAAATTATGGTGAAATAAGATTCAATAGTTATTATGTCTAGGTTTAGTTCTCCAAGATAATGACAAATAATTCAAATGCTTGTATTACCTTCAATTTTCATAAATTTGTGAACAATCTTTTTTACTGCATCGTTATCACTTTTACCCTGATCGTGATCACTTGAATTTATCTGGAAGAAGGAATAATGAAATGTTGAGTTAATTATTTGACTCTATGATAATGTCTTTTAATGGTGAAATGTGTAAACTTCCTTACATTATACTTCATTTTCAGAATGTCCATGTCTTTGTGGAACTGGTCATCCAAATTACTCTTTAGTTCTTCAAACACAGTCTGCATATCACAGAATGGCGTAAAACGAAGTTAGTGAAAAGCTTCAATTATTTCAAACAAAAGGTATAAGGAGAAAGAAGCTCTTACATTAAAGATGAACTCAGCAGATACATTGTGCTCTATCAAATTCTGCAATTTCCCACGGATATCGTATAGCCTGAGAGAGAAATGAACTCTTGATGTTATTATTCTGAGTGCTGGAAACTCGTAATTAGGGAGTCAAGTAAGAGCCTCAATATGAAGTAAATAATGCCCTCATAGTCATAGAAATGTCCTTCCAATGTACTCTTTCCGTTTCATTTTATATGACAGTATTTGACTGGACACAAAGTTTTAAGGATAAAAGAATGATTTTTGGCATATACCAAAAGCACCCTTGTTAAACATATTGTAACATTTATATGGCTGTAAAATCATGTCAGTTTGAAGAGTTTTGAAATATAGAAAGAGATTATCCTTTTCGAAACAAACTAAAAAAAAAGAGTTAACTTTTTGATGATGTGAAATTATACTCACTGCTTTGGACTTTGCTCTTCAATTATGTTTTTAGCGATCTTTGCAATGTCGTCTTCCCACCCTGTCTTGATTTCTTGATTTTCAGTCAAGGAAGTGCTGATAATAACACATTCTCCTATAGTTAGTGGTGGACAATACAAAAGATGAATCTTTTCGCAAATAGACAATCCAGATAAACGAATGTATAAAATTCTATTCTGTATAAAAGCGTTACTTGAAGTGCCAGGTAGCTTCAAAAGAGCGAATTGCTTGGCGTAGGTTACTTTTAGAGTTACTAGCAATCCTCACTGCCATTTGGTGTGGTAGTTCTATTCCTTCCTGTTGTGCTATGAATTTCAAGACGTCTACAATCTGTCAACAAGAAATGATTTTTCGAGTTAATTTATGCATATTGAATCTCTAAGTATTATACTGATTGTGTAAAATATCTTTTATGTTCTCAATGTCTATATTGGAACTGTGTGTACAAACCTCATCATCTGAAGGTTTTTGAAGATGAAAAACTTTGCAAATAGACTTAATTGGCTGGAGCTTTGTGCTATCGCTGCAGCAAAAGAAGACCTTATAACAACCTTCATATCTCTCTATCATCCATTTGATATATAACAATGCGTCTGTCGATAGCTTGTCTGCCTCACCAAGAATGATAGCTGTGTACATTACAAAATAAAGTGATAACATTATGTCTAAGTCTCGGTGCTAGCTAGAAATTGAAAAAAAGGCGGTAATACCTTTACAATTATCAGGATTTGGAGGTGCAGATCTGCTGGATGATTTGTGCTTTCTCTCCTTGATTAGTTGTACTAGGACATGTTTCTCATAGCCTTTAGTTTCAGAGAGATTGATCTCAACATGTTTGTTCGATTCCTTCACATTTACTTTGATGCTGGGAACTGATTCTCCCTGAAATGCATTTTGAGAATAAGCTACTTTCACTATCTTCCTATTTTGTGGCCTCTGAACCTTAGTTTCCGAGTTTTGTATGCCTAACTTATCGAAAGAAATACAATAGAAAGAAAGATGGTAGGGGATTGATACCTTTAAGTGGAACACCTTGCACTTATCTCTTGCCTGTAAAAAAGCAAAGAGATCATCGCTAATCATGGAAATGTACGTTTAATTTTCTATTTTATTAGTGTTTTTTCAGTTGTTATAACAGATATCCTGTCTCATTTTTCAGGTTCCTAATTCCACTCGTATGCACAGTGTTTGTAGTAATCTTTGAAGTGACTTTATACTCGTGTAATTTATCGTTCCTCACATCGAGGTTTTATTACTGAAGTGTCAACACAACACAGTTTCTGAATTGAACTTTTAGTATTTTTGTAGCTTTAAAGAGAATCCATAAACATACCTGTACTTTATCATGTCCATAAATTTTACGAAGCAGAGCAAATATCATGGTTCTTTTCCCTACTCCTGGCAGTCCTGCAAATATGAAATGGCGAATACTACTATCTGTTTCTGCCTGCAAAATTTTATAATCGAAAAGGATTGTAGTGTGTTAGTATTCTTTTGCTATCAATAAGCAAAATTCCGAAAAAAAATTGTTGAAGGATTATTTTCATACCAGAGCCTTCAATTCCAGTGCAATATTTCGATTGCATAGAAAATCTTTAAGAGCATTAGGCCTATACTTGTCAGCCCATGTAAATCTTTTGTCAATCTGTTTTTCAGGAACTGTCATATCTTTCACATTTGTGGTATCTTTTTCATCGTCGACATTTTGAGTTGATGAAGCTGGTAATGGTAGTAGTACTGATTCAATTTCTTCGTCTTGCGATGTTTGTAATATTAATGGAGTTGGTGGTGGAGATGGTAATGACAATTTTATCGGTGATGTTACTAGCGGTGCAGGTGCAGGGGCAGGGGCTGCAGGTAGTAGTACTATATTATTTGTTTGCATTTCTGATGCTCTCTCCCTCAAAGGCTTCCCCTGATCTAATTGTGAAATTCTACTTTTGCTTCTTCTTCTTACTCCTTTTGAATGTATACCAAGTTCTTCTCCGATTGTCGTTCTGATTACTTTTGTCTCAGATGAAGAAGGATCACGGATGTTCTTGTTCCCCGAAGAAGCATTCAACAAGGAGGATGCTCGTTCTTCTTTGCCTTTGCGAACAAAGTAAGATGCACTCCACTCTTGTACCTATTGTAACATAACATAAATATAATTACGTAATTAATAGTCATGCGCTCTGGATCTCTTAACACAAGTAGTTACGCTTTTAAGATGAGATGATCAGAAACTTCAATAATACATACCTTGATAGCTAAATTTGATTTAGAACTGTTACTTGTTGAAGAAGCTGATAAGCTGCTATCTTTCCCAGGAGTACTACCTGCTAACGACTTCTGTCGATTAATCTCTTTGGATGAATCAGTAAGTCCTTTGTAATATGGACTTCTTGCAGAGTATCTCTTTTCTTCTTGAATTGCATTTCTTTTGTTGAATTCATCGAGGTTATTACTCCTCGAGTTTTTTGAAGACGATGACCCTCTCTTTCTTTCCTCATCGACTTTTTTATGCCATGATGGTTTCAATGAGTCATCTGAATTTGTTGATCTGACATTTTGAGTTTCTGATATCCTGCAGGGAACAGATTTTGAACGCGGGATCAATGGATCTTTCGACATATTATTGAAGAGCTGAGATTGAATTTTGCTGTTTTTTCTTTTGTAGGATCAATTGAAAAGGACTATGGAAGTTAACAAAATCAAAATGTTTGATGTGAATGAAACAAAATAATAAGATTTGTTTCTACAGTAGGTCCATGGGTGATCATTCAGAGATGCTACGTTATTAACAATGTTTTCTTTCTTTTTTGATCATCAGTGTACGCAGTGGCGGAGTCAGAATTTTCACTATGAAGTAAACACATGAAGAAGCTAAAGACGTTCAACATCTATTATATATACATAAAAATAATTTTTGACTATGTATAAATAGTGTAATTGTTCATCGAAATCCCCTCGGCCTACCTAGCTCTGTTGCGTGGCTGTACTATTAATGTAGACAAGTATAGTCCATGCAAAAACAGCTGACTAATTGAGGTTAATTTATGTGTAGTTTTTTAACTTTATTGTTTGGTTCCTTCCATTTCCAGGGGTGTTTGTGCTGTGTATCACATCTTCTAACACCAGTTTTAATGTCTATGTATGTATCAACACTATAAAAGCATTTATTTGTAATTTAGCAAAAACGTTATGGGGGTTGGATGAGGTGGGGAGTGGGGGTTCGAGGAAGTCAAAGGATGGGGGCGTTGAGTGGTTGGGAAGAAGACAAATGAATTTCACATGTTACTTATGAAACTTGTTTTTCCTACTATTATAAGGGATTTCATTTTTCTAAAACTTGTTTTTTTAGAGAAAAATATTTTTCAAAACATTTTGACCGATCAAATATGAGAAAATTAGAAAGCATTTTCCTCTGTACCAAATGCGCCACTATGTTTATTCTATATGTGATTATCTTCTAAAAAATAAGTCATGTTGATTAGCTTTGTCATTTTATATTAGGTTTTATCTATAATTATCTTATAGGTAACTTAATTGTGTAATGCTCCACTGTTGAGTCACTTCAAGAGTAAATCAATAACTCACCTTATGTTTTAGGAACCAAATGAGGAATCATACGTAGACTAGCTTGAACATTCACCTGCTCTACAAAGCCCCTTAAAGCTAGAGTTGAGATTGTTTGACACTCTTCTCCTTTCAAGTGAATTGAATTACCATTTATGTGAGATCTACTTGCCTTAGCAACTAAATTTCAAACCCTTACTATCAAATGTCTTAATGAAATAATATTTTCACTAATTCATACGTAGTTTCCTTCACCTACGATGGGTATATATTTTACTTGTATTAAATGTAATTTAAGTAAAACAAGTAACTAAAAAAATAAAACAAGTAGACGTCATTATTCCTATTAATGGATTTATGATGTAGACATCTTATCCTACAAACGCAATTTTCAGCTTTTTACATAAATGAAAAAAGAAAAAGAACAGCTTTTCTCCATGCTATTAAATTGTTTTCTTTAAAAAAAAAGGAATATTTAAAAAAAAATAAAAAAATTACAAACAATAACCTTGTCAATGCAGTAGCTGTCAAAAGTTGATCAATTCTAACATATCACGACTCCAAATAATATTTAAATCATCATCTCATTCCAAACCTACCTTTTTATGTTTTCTGTCAGTTTACTATTTATATTGGGGTTCGACTGACTATTAAATGTGAATTGTGACACATTCAAGAGGATTCTTTTGTCAATTTAGAGTTTCAAATTCAAAATCTCTAATTAAGAATGAAGGAATTTCAATCATCTCACTGCAATCCAAATTGGACTGATAAAAAAAAACCTTCAATAGAGAATAACAGCCTACTTTGTAAAACTTAATTGGGTCAAAATTGTTACAAATATAACTCTTTAAGTATTGACTATTGTATATCTCGAAGGGTACGTACGTGTGGTGAAACTTTGGGATTTCCACAATTTTTTTTTTAAATGCAATTACAAAGTTTGAACTCCCCATATTATATTATTCTTTCTTTTTTTTCCTGTATAATTAATTGCATTAAAAATACATTTAATTAGTTTAATTATTTATGTCATTTTCCAAATGTGTACATAGTTGCCGCAGCGTATCACTTGGCGACTTACCTTTCAGATGAGATCATCTGTAATTATTCTCTACCTTGACAATTATCTTTCAGGACAAAACTTATTATTATTATTATGTCGGAAAACTTAACAACACTCGACGTTTGTATTAAATCAGATTATTATTGTCTCTATTTCAAAGTATTTGACCGTTACGCTATGTTTTAAGAAAGAAAACTAATAGTAATTGGAATTTGTAATATTTAACTTATACCATGATGAGCTCGTGTTGATCACATGAGATCCAAATAATTAAGGCATATTAGAATTTATAAATGAAGAAAAGAGGAGGAAAATATATAACCTTTAAAAGTTAATTTGACTAATTTTCAAAGTTAAATGAGATTACATTAATTTGATATTTTAATAAAAAAAAATTAGATAATCAAAAACTATACGAATTACTATAAATTGCAATTTTTTGCATATCAATATGATGAAAAATTATTAGTCAAAGTTATTATCAATTCTCTAAAAAAAAAAAACTATGACAATTAAAAGTAGATAAAGGTGTATATTTTTTACACATTAAAATGTTTTTGCTGAAGTCAGATTTATTTATTTATTCGAAAAAGGTCAAACTAGGAAATTAGATGCTTTGGAATTGGTTTCCCTTCTGGGATACACAAGTGGTGAGACAATTTTTTGAGTCCATTCATTTAACACCTCTAGCTACCTTAAAATTAAAGTTGCTCTAATAATTATCAATGTCATTTTAGATTGTTGAATGAATTTTTAGTTATGCCACAAAGTCTGGGGAGTTGTGCATAATGAGTTGATTAAATTTAGAACTGCGCATTGTATAACCAATTTTTGGGAGACGGAGAGGATGATGCTTCTAATAAAAAAAATTCCATTTTCATAATTAGTTGGAACATGAGAGGCCTGAGTAAGGATGAAGAAAACCCAACCAAACTATTCTATCACAATCTATATGGATGAGTAGATATCTTTTCAAGTGCAAGTATAAAATTATTAACCATGCAGTAATTAACACTAGATCTGTTCAGTGTAAGTAATCACAAAATAAATTAAAATTGTCATATTTTAGTCGAATTAGTTTTCAACAAATCAGAGAAATATGGTTATACCTTTCATCATTGTATTACAAAAAGTAGTAGAAATTATAAATTAAAGAAAGTCTATATTTCAAGACCAAACTAGACCTCCAACTTAATTAATGTCTGCATGTTCCTTGTCCAAAACCTCAATAACCTTGTTAGCTACTACACTTGCATACACTGTACAACCTTCACAAATCTGCATAAAATTGTCAAATAATACTTAATTTTAAACACATACATATGATAAAATCACAAGTATTTGACATCATGAAGCCAAAAATATATATTAGTTAGTCCCTCCGTTTCAATTTGTTAATCTATTGTACTTTTCTTTTTAATCCATTTCAAAAAGAATATCGATTTGTTTCCCTTTTTGGCAATTCTATATTCCAGTTATCCCACACGATATATTTAAGACCACTCTTGATACATTCTACATATCTTTAGTTTTCGATTAAACTCAGTGTCAAGTCAATATCAGACAAACAAACTGAAACGGAAGGAGTAATGTAAATAGTGTAGAGAAAGGGGGATAATGAAGCACCTTGGAGTTTAAGAGGTAGCTATAGTGATCTCCAATCAATCCACCAGCAACATGTTGGAGATCCAGCTGAAGCTCATCAAGTGCTTTTGATACCAATAGAAGGCAATTCACTCCCTTCAGTATTTGCTTCTGTTGAACAAGTTTAACAATCACTTCATCTTCCATTATTCTCACATCAACTTCAGTACTAGTATTCTTGGAAGATTTTATTTGATGATGCCAATTAGTAGATTTGTTCATCATCACTTGTTGATCATCTTGATTAGCTTCCATGATCACTGCACCATCTTCTTCTACTATTGATCTTTGCCTTTTGATTCTCTCTTTCTTTAAATCTACTTGAATTTTTAACTCATTTACTCTCATTTTCAGCTCATGTATGTAGCCAATAGCATCCGCGATAATTGTTGCTCTATCATTCTGCTATTCACAAAATTAAATTATGTCAATTCTTTTTTCGGAAGCAGTCTCTCTACCTCCCCAGACCTCATTGTGTAGGACTAGATTGGGTATGTTGGTTTAATCCCTAAACAAGTTAACCCTTTTTTAAGTCTCAAAATTTTGTTAGAGCAACAATTGATACTTCCTTCATTCTTGAACTTCCAAAATCATGTAGATTGATTGCATAGCAAAACTTATAGCTCATATTTTTCCTAATCAAACAAGTTCATTTTCTTTTGATTCCACAAGAATGTAAGAACAACATAGACAAGATAAAAGCATACAAAATTCACAAAAAAATGAAATTTACCAACAGAAGGATTTGGTGCTAAAAGGCTCATTGGTACTACAACAACAAAAAACTCACTGAAATCCCACAAAGTGGGGTCTGGGGAGGGCATATATAGTGTATGCAGATTTCTGTTTTCGACAGACTCTCAGCTCTCATTGGTACAACTAGTAGTAATATTTACTTAGGGACTTGTTTTCAACAAAACTAAACATGAAATATTTAAGGACTATTAAATACTTACATACCTTTGAGGGATTTGGGATTAAAGTCCTCAATGCTTGGAACTTGTCACTAAAATGAACTCTCCTTTGTTTCTCAGAAGCATGATGTTTGATATCTTTACCTAATTCCCTCTTTTTAATAGCTGCAGAATTGATCATCATATCTCCACTTAACTCATGAAAACTCCCATCATGGTATAAACTACCTGTTACCTCTTCCTGATCATGACCATGGCTAAACAAAGAACCCGTCCCGGAGCTTCCTAATCCATAGGAGGACCCATGTGGAGAAAGATGAAACAACTCTTTGAACAAACTAGATTGTGGGGTATAAAGATTTAAAGGCATATTCAATTGTGGGGGTTCATAAAAAAGATTAGTTGAAGTTGCCAAAAGGCCTAATGATGATGATGGAGTAGTAGTACTCAAGAAATTTGATGGATTAGAAATGGGGTAACTAAGTTGTTGATTGTTGTAAGGATTAAAACTAATTTCTTCCCAATTTTGATGAAACCTTGTGTTATTGGGGTCATGCCCAAATTCTAATTGCATATTCAAGTTCATGTTTTCACTAGAATGCAACTGTTGCTGCTGCAGCTCCACTAATCCAGATGTTGCAATATGATTTTGAAGAAAACTGTTTTCATCTTGCTGATGATCAGAAGTAGGATGAAAAGACAAACTTTGTGATGCATACATTCTTTACCCTTCTGATGAAATATTGTTGTTCACTACACCAGTAGTAATAGTACCAGTACTACTACTTTTGGTTGTTGAAAAGAGTGAAAAATAGCAGAAAACTCAAGTTTGAAGCAGGAAAAATGAAGAATGGAGCAGTTGTATTTGAGAAGAAAAGTTCAAAAAAGAAGAAATGAGAAAAGTAGTGAGAGGTATAGCCTTTATAAGGTAGAAGAAAGGGTAAAAGGACAGTAATGGCTTTTCTTGTGTTTGGGACAAAGTTTGTTACTGAGATTCCAAATATTATAGTGGGGTCCTCTGATCATCTCCGTACTCCAGTAGTTTCTGTTTCTGCAACTTGATTTGCAGTACTATAACAACAACAACAACAACCCGGTATAGTCTCAAAAGCAGAGTCTGAGAAGGATAGAATATACACAAATCTTATTATTATCTCGAAGAGGTTGAGAGACTGATTTATTTGCTGTGAAAATTCTAAAGAAAAATAAAAGATCACCATTATTTTCTGTGTCCAGTTACAGTTCAGTACATATTTCTTTGATCTTTTGCTATGTATGTATAGTTGGTCCTGGCAACATTGATAATTACATTTAAAATAAAAAGATCCTTTTTTTTCAATTTTATTCAATATTCCTTCTGATTCTAATAAGTGTAAAGAGGGGTTATAGTATGTAGTTATGTACATTATGACATTGTATATTGTTATTTGTTGCACTAATAAAGGTTTGCTTGTGTAATCAACCTGGGTTGTGGTGCAGTTATAAAACTTTTCACTCTTAATCAGAGGTCTCGAGTTTGAGCTTTAGTCATGGAGAAAATTTTATTGGGAGTGTCACCCCCAAATGAGCCTGCAGTGCATGATTCGAATTTAGTCAGGGCTCCAACGTGAACTCTAAACCCCACGTGAAAAGAAGAAGAAGAAGCTTTGCATGTGTAGCTAGGTTATAATATAAAGTCCTTTGTTTCGGTGTCTTCGGAGAAGTGGGGTTGTCTATAACCACAACTTACGCACAGTTAATGCCAAATATGTAATCCCTTTGTATTAATTTGTTTGTTTGGTTTTTTATTTGATACGGTGTTTAATAAATAAAGAATTTTTTAAATTATTTTGATACTAAATTAAAGATATGTAGAATGTAACAAAATATTTTTCAATCATGTGATATTGAATCTGTTATGTAAAAAGTTAAAATTAAAGAGTTTTCAAAAAAGTAAAGAGACGTGCTTTATGAAACGAATTGAAAAAGAAAGTAAGACAAATAAATTGAAACATAGAAAAGTGTTTTTGGGAAATAAAACTGTTCTTGTTTTTTTTTTTCTTTTCCATAATTTCATGTTTGCAACCGTATATTGTTTCTATCCTATTATTTTTAACATATTGAGCTTGGACCAATTCAAACATGGTTGAAGCCTTGAATTGTAGTGCCAAATAGAAAAATCCTAACGATAACAATTGTAGACTAACCAACATGGTGGGTTGTGGTGCATTGATGAGACTGTTTCACCTTTAATTAGAAGTCTTGAATTTGAGCCCTGAGTATGAAAAAAAATCTATTGGGAGTGTCACCTTCTATGAGCCCTACGCATAATTTAGTCGGACTCCAACATAAACTTCGAACACCGGGTGAAAAAAAAACATTTGTAAACTAGCAAGAAACTAACATGTAGACAAGGCCCACTAAATAGGAAGGTGCACATTTGTGTTTTTCCAAAACAGTGTAACTGCATAATATACATAGACACAGATCTTCTGCAGCACAATTTTTATTGGGAAGCTACAGCCTACAAGCATCTCTTATTTGTACCCTTGTTTATCTCAAATTGGTAATGGTCTTCATCAACATTTTGACTCACTATTTTTGTTTTTGGCTTAATACATCGACAACCTCTCAAATTTGTTAACAAATTTTATTTAGGCACTCGGAATTAGCTAATCACTTGAATACAAAATGAAGTGTTCTCATTAGATACTTTCTGTTTAAATTTTGAATAAACTTTTACGTGTGATCTTGTATGTTCATAGTTAACCATTTAATTGAAAGATGTCATCTCCTTCAATTATACACATTATCCTCAATTGGAACATTTCCATGGTTGTACGACTTATTGAGACCAATTCGCATAATTAAAGCCAATCACATATTTTAATTAGTTAACTTATCTACATAATGAGTATATTTGAGAACTCATACAAAAATATATATTAAAATTTTGAATTGAAAGTATCTAATAAATTTTTTATCATATATTTAGGTGTTCAACTGAAATAAACCATAATTTAAGTGTCCAAATTAAATTTACTCAGAATTTTAGAGGCTATTGATATATTAAGCCTTTTTATTTTATCAACCACATCTTCCATTATCAGTATGATAAACATATAGTTGTTATTAATTGACAAGATGGAATTAATAGGTTTATTATTTAAGTTAAGATACACTAAAATAACCAATATGAGTTTGTGGTGTAATAGTGAGATTACTTCATCCTTAATCTCTGTTGGGAGCGCCATCTCCATTTGCATAATTCGGATTCAGGGCTCTAATGCAGGCTTCGAACCCCGAATGAAAAACCAAAATAAATAAATAAAGAAACATCAAAATAGAAGGGGGAAAAAATTATACAATAATTCCATTCACGATATGATATTGAAAGTGTAGAAGTCTATTTTCTGTTTACACAAACTACATAGATTAATTAATACTATGTTGCCAAAGCATATATATTCCTTATTAGAAATTAAAGATGTCAAATTAAACTTGAGTAAATTAGCCAATCCTGTGTTTGTTTCATGGATTTCAACAAAGTTATTACTCCTAAATCACTAAATTAATCACTATCATCCACTCTGGCTGCTTAAACCTTCTAGAAATTAATCTGCAATAGACATATCAAAGAAAAATGAGGCCACTGTCAGAAAATCAAATGTGACAAAAATCAAGATAAATAGAACATGAAACAAACCAGAAAAATCGAACGATTAAAACATAAATATTTTTTCTTTCTCAATTTATGTGATATCATTCGAATTTCGAGAAAGATAAAGCAAGGTATACCATTTATTTTGTACAACAACAAGTGGTCCAGCAATTGAGAGAAATATTTCAAGTTCTTTTTTATTAGTACTATTATTATTGTAAAAGTGGACAAAAGAAGCCTTCTTACACTTTTTAAATGCTTACCAAATTCATATTTAAAAACAAAATAATCAAAATGCATATACTTCTAACTGCTTGTCTGGGTGTACTTCAGAAAACATGCCCAAATTTAGAAATTGAAAGCTCATAAATTTTTATTTGACTCATTTTTTTGAATTTTTTCTACATATTCTTCATTATTACGTGGCCCCCACTACTGTAAACTCTTGAAACTGAAAGAAGACAATGAGACATCCATAATTTCCCTTTTGATGATGCTCAAATAATGTAGTTCATCTATTCCAATATAATAATTGCAACTTTATATTTATGAAATATGGTGAAGAAAAGAGGGTTAGGACAGTTTTGTCATTTTTTCTCATAAGAAGATGATTCCAATGATGTGTTAGATAGGAGTCCTATCACAGGACAGAAATATTAATAACAATAACATATCAAATGTAATCTCATAAATTGAATTTGAACAGTGTAATGTGTACACAATTTTATTCCTAGTAAAAGTAGAAATATTATTTTTGATAAACGTTCATCTTGCCTATAACAAATCAGGACAGAGAGATCAAAAACACAAAATATAAGTATGCCAAGACTTATTTGGTGGTCTAATCCTCATATGTTCATTGTATTTTGTTTTTCTTCTCCCTAATATAAACAACTAATAACATACCCTGTGAAATATCACAAACAGGGTCTTGGGAGGGTGGTGTGTACGTAACTTTGCCCCCTACCTTATGAAGGTAGAGAAGTTGTTTTTGATAGATCGGTGGCTCAAATAAAACACAACAAAACAAGAAGGAAAAGAGAACACGAAGTAGCATCAACAAATAATACGACAAGAGGGAAGAAGAAAGATTACCATAAATGAAAGAGCTGAAAACTTAATTAATAGCTGTTAGTTGGTGCAATTGCTGCATACTGTATGTCCACAACCTCAATAAGCTTCTTGGCTATTGCACTTGCATACACAGTTGATCCTTCAGAAATCTGCATATAAATAAATTTGATGATTAGACAAAAACATTCAACACAACATGAGAAATTCTAAATGTAAACACCTTCAAATCAAATCAAATCAAACCAACCTTTGAGTTAAACAAGAAGCTATAGTAATCACCAATAAGTCCACCAGCAACATGGTGAAGATCCAATTGAAGGTCATCAAGAACCTTAGATGCAAAGAAAAGACAATTAATCCTCTTCTGCTGAACAAGTTTGACAGTAACTTCATCGTCAACAATCCGAACATCAACTTCAGTATTCTTAGACCTCCTCTGAAGCCATGAACTCCTTAATGAATTCCCATTGTATGATTGTTCCACTTCATCCATTATTTGCTTTGCATCAGTACCATCCATGGAAATAGTACCACCTTCTGTCTTTTGCCTCTTAATCCTATCTTTATTGCATCTCTTCTTCTCAACCATAAGTTTTAACTCATTCACTCCCCTTTTCAACTCATTGATGTAATCAATTGCATCCTTCACTATTGATGCTCTATCATTCTATCAACACCAAAAAGACAAGGTATCGATCGATAAGTAGTCCATCATATTAAACAAAAAAAAAAAGATTAAGAGTGAACTAGTATATTATACCTTGCTTGGATTAGGAACCATACTCCTCAAAGCTTTATACTTGTCATTTAAATGCACCCTCCTCTGCCTCTCAGTAGCAAAATGTTTAGTCTCTTTTATACCATCTCTATTTTTGGCTATATCATTCATACCAGCAGAAAACTCAAAAATCCCATTGTCAAAAGGCCTTGTTTCTCCATTTTCTTGGTATAAACCCTGATCCTGTTCCTCCAATCCATTAAAGAAAGAAGTATTGTTGTTGCTTCTC